GGCCAGCCACGCGTCGCGTCGGGAGCCGGCTGCGCTCGCCTCCAGGCTGTGGGGGGACCTGGTGCCTCCAGGCGGCTGGCACTCAAGCCTGGGCGCAGTGCTGGGGCCCCTCGCCGCCTGGGCGTTGACCTCGGCAGACCTGACCGCAGTTGTTCCGGACCCCAGCTGGCCCCGAGGCGTGAGGCGAGGCGGCGCCGGCTTGGCAGCACGCCCCGAGGACGCAGGGCGCCAGGAGCCGTGCGCGACGCACTCACCTCGTCCAGAGCTTCTCGAACTCTCTCGGCGTGAGGGGGATGTCGAACCCATACAGCGCGTTCCTTATGTCCCGCCGTCGAAGGATCCCGTGGCCCTCGTGGTCGGTCTCTATGAAGTTCTGCGGCATCAGAGCAGGGTGCTCGGTGGCGGCCGGCGAGCTGGCCGTGCGCCCCCGCGTCCTGAGGCGCGGCCCTCCCCGCAGCCACGCGTGGCCTCGAGGCCTCAGGCCAGACACCCTGCGCCTCCCGGACAGGGCAGGAGGCCACGGGCCGGGAGGGGCTCAGGCCTGGGGGCGCCTCCAGGCCAGCTGCGGCTTCAGAAACTGCTGGAAACGGGGGAGTGACGCACCCCCCACCGGCCCCGGTCACTCAAGGCCGCAGAGTTGCTGAGGATTCGCCACGCCGGGGCAGAGATGCTGGGAGGCTCCCCCTCGGGATGGAGACAGGAGCCGGTGCCGTGTCCCTGGCCTGCCAGCGGCGCCGGGTTTGCAGGCACTGAGGAGGCCGGCCCGGGCCTCGGCAGCACGCCCTCGGGGAGGGGCCCAACTTCTCCCGGGGAGCAGAGCCCTGGGCCCCTCCCCACCACCTGCCAGGCCGGCGCAAGGGCGCCTGGAGAGGCCGCGGCCAGCACCGCACCCTCGGGTCAGGGCCTGGACGGGAAGGCAGCACGAGCGGCGGCCACAGCGGTGCTCAATGAAAAAAGGACGATCAGGCGCAGTGACAGGACGGGAGGAGGTCAACTGTCAGGCTCAGAGGACTTGAGCGCACATCAGGGCTCAGAGCAAGCGCCGGCTAATGATAAGAGAATTCAGGGATTCAGCTTCGTAGGAAGGAAGACCACCCGTTTTTGTCCGGCAGGCGCAGGACGTGTCTCGGGGCACTGTCGTCACACGGAGCAGGGGGCCCACAGGGCCAGCACGGGCTGGACCTCACGGGAGCTGCTGGGCAGGCCAGGGGCTGCGTCCCAGAGCAGAAGGGCCCCGGCAGGACCGCGGGCCTCCCAGTGGACGCCCGGCAGTTCTTCCCCTTGACCGGCGGGGACCTGACCGGCACATGTGAGAAACTGGTAGACAGTGGGGCGTTGCCCGCCATGACGGGACGCTGGGGCCAGGGAGCGGCCGGGGCTCGCGCTGCTCCGTCCTGACAGCCCCCCGCCCCGCCCCTGCCCAACTCTGCCAGCAGCTCGTGCCCTCCTGGGCATGCCCCCTGCGCCAGCCCCCAGGGCCACGCGCCCCCTGGGCCCCATCTCCTCTCTCATCCCTCTGTCCTCGGCCGGCCACAGCGCTTAGCTGGTCCAGAACAGTTGGCTGAGGAAACTGAGGCGCTTACTTCCGAAACCCTGGACGGCGGCGAGCTAAGCCGCCCGGCGGGGCCGTGGAAGGGACCAGCGCGGGCCGGCCGCTCACAGGGTCCACCCACCCTAGAGCCGGGGTCAGGGGCAGCGGCTGGACCCCAACTTCACCCAGGGTTGCCAGGGCTGCTTCCCAGAGACAGGTCCAGCCTGTCCCGGAGGGGACCCTCACACTGACTCCCTCAGACTTCGCCCCAGACGCGGAGAGCATCATTCAGCCCTAGGGGCTCCGAGAGTGTGGGGGGACAGTGTGAGGGGCCGGTGTGGGCTAAGGGCTCCTCTCGCGGCCCGCACACCTGCAGCCCGCTGCAGCCTCTTCCTCCAGGGACCTGCCTGTCTCCCCTTCGCACGGCTCCACCAGGCTCAGGGCTCCCGGGCTGCCGGGGGGGAGCAGGTGGAGAGGAGTGGCTCCTTGCGGCTTATAGGTGGAGCTGAGCGAGCACGAAGGCCAGGCTGAAGCTGGGGAGAGGCCGGGTGGCCGTGTGGACGCCTGTCCCCTCCCAGCAGGACAAGGTAACAAAAGAAAATACCCAACTGGAAACGCAAAGCCTGCCCCCCTGCGGCCCACGGGTGCCGGCTGGCCGGAAGCAGACCTCCCCCCCCCAGGGCACCTTCGTTTCTTACCTTAGACAGGTCTGTCCACCTGTTCTTGGCTTTGGCAAGAAGAAACTGATGGGCCTGTTCACAAGCTAGTTCTGAATCCGTGACCTTCTTTTTTGATCTTAAAAGACAAAAAGAAAAAGTCTTAGACTGAGCATGTGTCGGTGGGTCCCCAGCAGAGGGGAGGTTCCAGGCTCCCGCCCCCCCACCCCCGAGGGGAGAAGCTGGACAGGAGCCGGGAGGGGCGGCAGG